CATAATATATCTAAAATAAAATTATATAATAATATATATGTTGTTTATGTCTATACTCGTTATTGTAATTATGTATAGAATTTCTCTGGAGGCACTGATAGGCTTTTCAAAAGTGTCAGTAGTGGCATTAGTGTCAAATTACTCCTTTGGCTGCTGTTCTAGGTACACAATCTTTATGAAAGCGGGGAAAAAATAACCTGTGAATTATTGAAATTCTATTTGGCTATACTTTTGAAATTTTTGGCTGATACTTCTAATAGGAAAGATTGTGAATATTTATTCCCTTTCAAATTAAATTAATCATGAGTTAAGGGTGCTGTTCAGTCCCTAACTGCAGAACTATGGCAGGAATAGGAACCCTATAGTGAGACTGGGGAATTAGTATGAATCCTTTGTAAATAGTTCCACATAGAAGCTGTTTTAGAGGTCTAGTATGAAGCCTGTTCACAAATCAAAAGTTAAGGAAATGTGTTCACATAAGCAATTATTGTATTTTGAAATCCAAGAGAGATAACGTGTATGCTGTATTGAAGAAGACTGATTCATGGAATTTTGCAACAGATGAAAGGCAACTTATGACCATGAGAAATTTCATCCCTTTTTTCCCTTCTTTTTCTATAGTCCTGGGAAGTAATTTTCTTTTCACAGTTTTTTAGCTTGAGATATACATTTGGATTCAAATACTGAATAAGAATTCTGTGATCCATAAGAACAAATTAAGTACAATAACACCAAATAGAAGATTCAGAGTGAAGGCTGATGAATTCTCCAGACTCTTTGTTCCCTAATTTTGCTTTTATATTTCTCTGAGTCACAGATACTTCTGACTCTGTAAACTCTTTATTTTAAGATTTCCCTAATTATTCTCTTAATGTGTAGATGATTGGAATAAATACAGCTAAACATGGCTTTGACTTTTAATTAGGAATTTGGTATTCTGAATAAATTCTGCAAGGGCTTTTCAGATTAATGTTTTGCAATTTAGATCAGTTTGGTGATAAATACTAAAATTTTAAATGTGATTGCATCAATTCATCATAATAGCATAAAAGCCTGAAGCTTCTGTGATGTTTAATTATGAGAGGGACCTGGGTGTCATACCTTCATTTTAACTGAGTGTATGACTGTTTCCTGGGGAATTGTACAACTGTTATCCCCCTTAAACGCTGATTCCCATCATAATGCCTGGCTGCATAGTCCTCTATGCAGTGTTAGTTCATAAAATAGAACTGCAGACTGTAGTGTTAGACCATAATAATAATAAAGCCTGCCAAATCAATCAGAAGCCTGAAAGGAGCACAAGTTGCTACAAGACTGCTAAGATACCTAAATTTCTTCTTAGTTTTTAAAGATATGATTAATTGTTCTCCTTTTTGCAATATGTAATTGAAAATTAACCACTTGAGTTCCTACTGCTTAATATTAAAAATAAAAGGGCCATTTCTTATTTAACAGTCTGATATATAAACTAATCTTTGTATTGTAATTTATGTCTCCTATGCCTCTAGATTTTAAGCAACATATTTTAAACTGAGGATTTTAGGTTGGCAAAATACAGTTGCTTGCTTGTGTAGGCAAGACTTTCTAGAACTGTATTGAAAATGCAACAAGTAAGCCCTTTTTGGCCATTGAGCCTTGGTTGTCGTATCTGTAAATGGTAGCGTATTTCATTTGACTTTTTAATGGTGTCCTGTATTAAGATTGTATGTCCTTTAGATCCTAACTTCAATAAAATTTTTGCCTAGGTGATTAACTGAATGACCTCTAAATTTTTCTGTTGTTTTTGTTGGTTAAGGTGAGCACTCCAGTGGTTACATCAACCACGCAGGAAAAGCAGAAGGACAGTGATCAGTTTGAATGGGTTACCATTGAACAATCAGGGGAATTGGTGTATGAAGCACCAGAAACAATTGCTGCAGAACCTCCACCGATCAAGTCAACAGTTCAGACTATGTCTCCCATACCCGCGCATTCTTTGGCTGCCTTTGGTTTATTTCTTCGTCTCCCGGGCTATGCTGAGGTGCTGCTAAAAGAACGGAAACATGCTCAGTGTCTGTTGAGATTGGTGTTGGGAGTTACAGATGATGGTGAAGGAAGTATGTGCTGCAATTATTATGTTTCTTTGTAGACCGTGGCTAGATCATTTTACTTAAATTTATTTACACTTTAATGCTTTTAGCAGGAAGTTAGAATTGATTTGTGCAGAGCTGTGTTGCTAGCATCTTTGATAGTCTGTTGTCTCTAAATATTAAATTCTGTCTGGCAAAGTTTTGTCACAATCATCAGTATTCAAGCGTTCTCATCTAGATGTCAGAGTAATTGTAAAGTAACTGCTGATAAAACTTAAACTGGCACTGTCAAGATGACAGTGTGCTCAGACAGAACAATCTGAGTAGCTGGGTGTGCTCAACTAATTGAGCAAATGTCGTGTAATTCTGCAACCAAATGCAGAATAATATGGATAGGAGCATAGCTACAGCAGATTTAGAATAAACTGTCGAATAATACTGTTTTAGAAAAGGAGAGAAAGATCTAAAGACCATAGTGATCAAATTAGCTGAGCAGGAGCTCTACCTTAATGGCGTGAGTTCAGAGGGAGAAAAGGGTTATTCTTCAATGAATGAACAGATGAGCTGAGAGATAACTGTAGTCAGTGTCTTTGCAACAAACCTAGAACTCTGCATATAGTTCTAATATTTGTGGGTTTTAGTGTTTTGAAAAACTGGAAGAGTGTGTGTGAAAGATGTTTTAGTACTTTAAAGACATTTCCTTTCATTATGACTTTGAAAAGAATGCTGGTTTTTCTGTGCAGCAATCGACTGAAGTTAGTCTCTATTCAGCAGGCTATAGAGTGATGGACAACGTGTAGCTCATAAGACCAACTGAGAAACTAAGAGTCTTGTTTACAATCCCTTTTGTTTATGTTTTTATTTCTCTTGTATTTAGGTACAGGACAGTAGACAAGAATAAACTGGATAACAAAAATTCAGTCTGGCTGCTTACTCCCACCTAATTTGAGTAGTAATTAACTGAAGGACTATGTGCAGTCCCTCAGATTTTTTATGTCCTTGAATGGTTCCAGTCCCTTGCTATTGCAAACAATTTTATATCCTTTTTTTTTCTTTTTAATAAAGAGACCAACTCAAACCCTTAAAATTTGGGTTGCGCTCTTTTTTGTGTGTGTGCATCCACTATTGCCATTGGAATACAGTTCCAGAACATCATTTTCCTGATAGGTAGGGGCTGCTTTAATTTTAAGCTGAAATTTATTCATATCCAGTTTGTGCCCATTTATCATTGTGCCAGCATTGTTTCTCGTCATAAATAGCTCTTCTTTTTCTGATGCATTTGTTGACAGGAATTGTATTTGCTCTTAGCCTTTGTTTTTGCTGGACTAAACAGTCAATTTCTTCATTCCCTAAGCCAAACGTCTGAATTCAACTCTTTACGAAATGTGGGATCAATTGTACACGGTAGTCCACATTAGTTCTCCGTATAAAGCATTAATATTTTCCTTTTCTGTTGGAAATGCATCTTTTCATACACCTAGAATCTCTTTACTTTCTTGCATAATATGAAGAGCTGCACTTATAAATCCATGGCTTATAGATTAAACATGGATTCAGTTGTCTGCAAAAATAAACCATGGGCAAATGTTTAGATTTTCTTTTTTTTGTCTCCTTGTCATTTGGCTACACCTGCAGTTCTGGAAGTCTATCAGATAGGCTTTTTTCCAGAGGTGTTCAGTTTTATTTGTGAAGATCCCAGTCAGAGGACTTCTTGCTTCCTTTTTGTTATTGTCTTTACAAAGAGTATCAGATAGATATGAATTAACTCGTGTGTGTATGCATGTGTGTGTGTAGATACATATACATACAAATATAGACATAAGTATTTGTAGTGTATTTCAGTTTAGACCTCTGGGTGATGATATAGCTGATAAACTCTAAGAATGAGGGAGAAAATGATATAAATATGTTTAAAATAAGAGGCAAACTTCTGAACAGAGTTGGCTATTTTGAAGTATTTTCAGTTGTCAAATATCTCTATTTACATATGCATGGGGAAAGGTATGTGAAATGCATTGTTAAATACAGAAAAAATTGAGATAGTTTCCCAAATCTGAGTATGTTGGCATTAATAGGTCACTCTGTTATTTGAAATGTGGCTTTTAAAAGAAGTAATTTTTGCTCATAATGCAAAAGTGTTAAAAATTTAAAATAATTCTACTACAAAATTCAAACATGCAGCTCATCTAATTAAAATTATGTTAGTATTTCACCATGTGTTCAACTTGAATAGCATCACAGCTTGTGTGGCGTCAGTGACTTAATTCCCACTTCGGGCACATGAATATGAAAAAAAATCCTACATCATGATAAACTACAGCTCCTTGTCAGCTAAGCTGCTATTAGCTGACCATGTGCATTCTTTAACTTGCTGTAGTTGGAATGTTTAAAAAAAAAAAAAAAAAAAAAAAAAAATTAGTCTGAACCACCTTCGTTTTCTTCATTCAGAAATGCGACCTGAGGTGTAGTCAAATAGAGAAGTATGCTCAATATTATTCACAAACTAAGTTTTCTCCTTGGAAATGGCGAATCAGATTTTATAACTTTGGTTCTTAACCAAATCCATAAAGGAAATAAAGAAACATTCCTTCTTCTACACTCTTCTGCTGAAAATTTTTTGTGAAGAGAAACCTAGTATTATATAGCTTTCCTATCATATGTGAATGCTTAAGTCCTTAGTATATTTCTGTATGTGTTGTTTATAAACTATTGCAGAGATTAACAAGCTGTATTGAACTATTGAAAGAAAATGTGATTTTGATATTTTTCTTCTTCAATCTAGGCCATATCCTCCAGTCTCCTTCAGCAAACGTGCTCCCAACTCTGCCCTTCCATGTGTTGCGTAGTTTGTTCAGCACTACACCGTTGACTACTGATGATGGAGTACTGCTTAGGCGGATGGCACTGGAGATTGGGGCTATACATCTTATCCTTGCTTGTCTGTCTGCTCTAAGCCACCATGCACCAAGAGTGCCCAACTCTAGTTCCAACCAGGCAGAGGTAAGTTTAGCAGCAGAATAATTGCCACTGAGAAGCAGTAAGAGTTTTAACTGTAAAAAAGAAAACAATCTCCATGCTTTCATTATAGTCCAATTTCTTCAGGGTTTGCATTTGAATGAAGAGCAAAAATAATTAGAAAGTACTTGATTAAGTAATTGTCCTTGCATGTTGCAAATAAATGTAGTAATAATGAAATTTAACCAACAAAGAAGGCTTGTCATGTAGTCATTTTCTTTCACAGGACCTTCTTTTTCGGTGCATGAGAGGCATAATGCTCAGTGGATGGTGATTCTTTAATCCTCATTAGATAGTATGACCTCATTACCTTAATTAGCATTCATCATCTGAACTCTACTGGCTGCACATTATTTCCTCTTAAATGCTTCACAAATGTAAATAAGTTGTGAAAATCAGTGAATTAATGCAGTGATTTTTTTATCCCCTTTTTACTGATGGGGAAATGAGATCCAAAGACAAAAATTTTCCATAGCGTTCAAGATCCTGAGTGAATCTCCAAAATCAAACTTTTTCAAAGTACTTACTGTATTATACTGTCCTCTATTCAGAACATGTATCCCCTGATTTTTTTAGGATTATGAGTTGCCATCTCTCCATAACATACCAATTGTCTCTAAAAGTGTTTAAAAAAAATTCATGTCTTGCCCTCTTCAGTATCTTTGTGGCAGAGGCTTGCAAAAAACGTTCCTGGTGGCTAAATACGGCTAAGTAGATGCAAAATATAGGGCTGTCCATATTTTAGCAGCTCTGATACTGATAAGGGGTTGAGCAAGGAAGAGATGAAGCTGTGCATGAGAATAATTCACTTTAATGGCTAGTCAAATTTAAGGGGAAGCTGAGATATTCTTGTCCTAATGGGGTATCAGACTGCCGATACATTAACGCCTTAGCATTACTGCACTTTTGGAGGGAAAGGGCAACCATTAATTCTTATCTCTGCTTCAGTTGTACCATGACCCCTTAAACAGCTTGCTTTCTCATAATTCATATCTATCAGGTGATAGATGGTAACCTGAAACTAGAGATCCATCAGGCTTGTATTTCTGGGGCCAGGCTTTCCCTTAAGTGCTCTAAGTCAGTGCTCATGACAGTCCTCTTGAGTGTTAAGGGCACCGCATGTTCATGAGTGATGTAATGAGTATTGTCTACATGAGAATAATCACACAGCTATTTTATCACAGGGATGCATTACATTCCCAATGTAAAAGTTAAATGGTGATTCCAGACTACTGTCAGTATGGTACTTCATAGGTGATAACTTTTTTTTTACCATAGCAGTCTGTTCATACATAATTTCTTTTCCTTCAAGTATAATCCTGAACAAAGTCACTGAAGAAGATCTGAACAGAAAATGGAACTTTTCAGAGCCGTAAATCAAATATTACAAATTAAAGTCGGGCACCTATTCACGTGACCTGGTTTCCAGTAAGGCTAATTGTCACTGAGTAACTCTAATAAAAGTAGCAAGTGTTCATCACGTTGGAAAATGAGGTCACTTGTTTAAGGTGCTAAATATATAATTAGGAAGACATTAGTTAAAAAATGCTTATCAGAGTTTTTTCTGCATCCTTTTCGCCAAAGATCTGGTAAACTTTCAAAATTAGCATAAGTACTTAAATAGTTTCGTAAGGGCTAAGCAATATAATATTGAAGTTATGTTAGTAAAATGCAGTGATGCAGACCGTTGGAAAAATGTACAAGCTGTACAACCATCTTTGGAAATGCTATACAAGCACCTTTGGAAAAATGCTATCTCTCAGAACATTTTAAGGACAAGGTATTTCTCCCCTATTGTCTGGAGTGGAAATAGTGTGTGTTTCAGTGACCCAGAGATCATGTGTCAGAACTATACATGTAACTTAGACCTTTTGCCATTTTGGAGCATTTAGTCAAAATCAGCACATGCTTGAGCATCTTAACATTTCGGTTGTGTACTTTTGATGACATTTCTACTTCCATTCACTTCATCATTACGCTATTAAACTTGAATAGATGTTAAACAGTAATAATTACAGAGCTGTGATGTTTAGCATGATGTGGATTAAGTAGCATTTTAATACCTTTAATCATTTAAGCGGTGACAGTATCTTAAAAGAGAACAAAAACAGGCTTACAGAAGAATCACTTGCAATAATTTAGCGCTGGCCTGTACTGGAACTCCATTTACGTGGCAGAGTCCTTCCTATCTAAAGCTTTGAATTCCCCTGAATCCCAGTGGTATCTTTATTAAGTTAATAAATTGGGATTACCTTCTTTTGCAGAACAAAGGCTTTCTAAAGAATTGGTTCATAAGATGAAAAAAGTGAAATTACTGTTGTTTTCGGTTTTGTTTTTTTTTTTTTTTAACTTAGCCACAGGTGTCAAGTACACACAACAGTGCATCAACAGAAGAACAGCAGTTGTACTGGGCTAAGGGTACAGGCTTTGGAACAGGCTCCACAGCATCAGGATGGGATGTTGAACAAGCTTTGACTAAGCAAAGGCTAGAAGAAGAGCACGTGACCTGCCTTCTACAGGTGTGTAATAATGAAATGTTGATTAATGATAAGCACTTGAAACGTTAGAACCTGGATAATAAAAATCAAGCTTGTGTTTTTTCAGTCATATAGCACAGTAATTATGGTATTTTGGGAAAAAAGTAGTTTACAACCACCTGTCTACATGAAAAATGGTATAGATCATATTTTGAGCGAGGCTGTTTTCAAGCATCAGTAGACTACTGCACAAGAAAGACCTGAGTGGGTAAGCCTGGGTGATACAGACAATGAACCAAGAAGCATTCCAGTGTATTTCCCTGAAGCTGTCGTATATCTCAGTGGACATAACTGCATTCAGTCAAAAGTAAAGACTGTCCATTAGAGGAGAAGGATGCGGGAATAGGCATTTTGTTTTGTGTGCCAAATAATCTTACCTATTCATTTCTTGCATATTTTTGCTCTGCTTTAAGAAAATGCCCATAGTTGTTACTGGTGTCCATGAATGTGTTATGCCAATATAACAAAATCTCACTCAGACATACTATAAAATCGTGAGTATGTCAATTAAATGACAATAGTAAATCACCAGTAAACATCCTGATCTTAGTAAAACTCTGATGCCTTCCAAATGCCTCATGCTAAGAGAAGAAAATCCTGCATAATTAAGCTTTTCAGTCCATTGTGAAAATGTGACCAACCCCTGTTATCTTAGGTCAGTGTAGATCTATCTAGTCGTCAAAAATTTGATTCACAGAACTGTTAGCTCAAATGCATTAGATAACCTCACTGCTGGGATAGAGCACAAAGGGGATGAAATTCTGAAAACACCCATGCCCTGACTGATGAAGATATCATTTTGATGTAATCAGTTATTTCAGTCACGATAGATTACAAGGCACAAGTATCATGTCCCTTGCAAAAGCAAAACAAATAAAATCGGAAACAATTTTCCTAAGCAAGAAAGAGGAAAATCACCTGAATTACTCTTGGCGAAGCTTCTAGGCAGTATTCTGTATTATGTCATGCAGAGGTTTAGCTATAACTGTCATAAGCATTGAGGTAAGGAGGCATTTCCTTTGGGCAGTCAGCAATTGTAGGAAGAAGTAGAAAACTCTTCAGCATTTTACTGAAGATGTCAGTCAGTTGTACAGCAGACTTTGCCTGGTCCCTTCTCTAGAAAGGTTGTTTAAAAAAATTCTGTTGTACGGAGTGCTGATAAGATGCTGCAGCAAAATACCATGGGTAATGAGGTTAGAGCAAAGAGGGAGAATGAAAGAAAGGAGAGGAGGCTAAAAAGGTGAATAGAGCCCCTGAGACTCTAATACAGCCTTTCAAGACTTGAAGTTACTTAATTTGAGAGTACAGATCAGACCCATGGAAGTGCATTAGGTTGTACGTCTACAACACACGCTAAGGGCCTGTGAAATCAGCAAGAACTCCCCTTGGGACGAGCAGGTGTGCAGTCGTGAGGTGACTCCCCTGCCGTCACTGAGGGGGAGGCTGCTCTTTGTTTACTGAAGCAAGAGCCGTGCTTTACAGGTGGTTGTTCCAAGTAACTGCCATGCTCACTGTAAGTTGTTGTTTCATCTGTAAACTCTGAGGTCCCATCCAAAAAGAAGTTACAAGTGGTTTTAAAACATTTGCAGTTTAAAAAAAAAACTTTTTTGTTGCCAGTGGGTGTTCTGAAGTGAATGGGACTAATCAGCTGCATGTCTCAGTGGTGTGAGCTGGCGAACTCCTGCTTTGCGTAACTCCAGCAGTTTTGTCAAAATTCATATTAATTGATCACTTAAAGTCATTCAGAATTATAATAGCTATTTAATTTTAGCATTAGCCAAAGTTGAAATCAGAATCTAATAACTGTGCAGAATTTCTTCTGAGAGGTTTTTGGGACTGCTGAAATAAGTACCAGTACTGAATTAGCAAAATAGCTAGTGAAGTATTATGGTGTCTTCCTTAAGGAAGGAAAGTCAAAGTTCTTTTGCCTAAAATAAATCAGGTTTGATTAAATATTTTTGTGTATTTCAGGTTCTTGCCAGTTACATAAATCCTGCAGGGAGTACATCAAATGGAGAGACCCAAACTAGCCAGGAGGGGAGAGGACAAAACAGCAGTGCTCTTCCATCCGTTCTCCTAGAGCTACTCAGTCAATCTTGCCTCATCCCAGCAATGTCATCATACCTCCGCAATGATTCAGGTAATGTGCCGTTGTCTCCTTCTAAATCAAAGCTGGCTTACTTCTGTCAAATAAGTTTTTATATAAACAATAGGTGGTTCTGGCTAGTTTCAGTACGTTTGCCAGTTTAGAATTGTACTAATGGAACATTCACCTGAGCCTTAGAAAACAAAATGATAGTGTTCATTGAAATACTCATTTATTCTAACAACAAAAACTTTGTTGTTTTAATGTCTTTTTTAAATTTGAAATTTAATTCTTAAACTGTTGAAATTAACAGGAAAATAGTCCATCTGAGAAGTTTATATTTTAGTTGTTCTGTAGAATATACATGGAGAGAATGAGTACTTTATACAAGACCATGAATCTTACTGTGAAAAAAAAATGTTAATTTTGTGAGAAAATCGAGCAGGTATATGCATGAAGTTGGTAAATGTTGCACGTACTAGTGCAATTCTCTTTTACTTTGGTCAGACCTTTTTCTGCTTTATTTAGGAAATGTAAAAATAAGCCTCTTATCAAAACTGCAGAATATTTCAAATATATGAGAACAACGAAATTGTTGGGTTTTTTTTAAAGGAAAAACAAATTAGTTACATGTTGTCATCACATTTCTACTCATAATTTTGAAACAAAGATGTTTTGATAGTTTCATCCAGTATGTTGTACCTTGCTGTGAAAACCATTTCAGTTGTACGAGGTAGTGTCAAGCAGTATGAGTTAAGCAAATGCCTGTATGGAACTAACGGCAAAACCAGCAGACTGGGTTTGTGATTTATGTTCAGTCTCACTACATGACTGGCTTTAGTATGAAGATATTGATAAGCATTTTTTCTTCAGATAACTGTCAGTCTGAAGTTTTTAAACACTGCCTTAGCCTGCAGTTGAATTTTTGTTTAGTTGCTTTGTAAGGATGGATTTAATCTCTAAGTAGCAGAAGGAGTTGTTCCAAATCTGAATAATTTGGTTTTGGATCCTTATTTTGCTTGCCCTATTTTTGGAGTAACTGTTAAATGTCTCGTCACATTGCTGCAGTTCTTTTGAATGCCAGTTGTAGGGTGTGCTGATGTGAATTTCTTGAAACAATGTCATAGCTTCCTGTTGAATTGCACAATATATTTTATCTCTGGGGTGAAAGAAAAATCATCTGTGTCTTAAGTATGTACTAAGCTACATGGGACTAAAACAAGAACGTGGCTCTTTTAGTCTGTGGTAACTAGGGCATTACATAATCTTGTATGATGGAATGGAAGTAGTTCAAAAAGTCTGCCGGGGCCTTATAGTAAGAATAAAAATATGAAGATGTTTCACTTGCCAGTCCACAGTTTGACACCTCTCCCTAATTTTGCAATGAATTTGTTGGTTCTATTTTGCACATACTACAGTGAGGAAAATGAACTCTGTAGCTTATACACCAGGCTCATTATTGCAAATGAAAATCTAATCTAAAACAATAAAGTAAATGATAAAGTAAAACAATAAAGTAATCTTTCTAACAGATACTCATAAATTCTTCTTTGTTGACTTAGAAAGGAAAAGTCATTGAAAGACCTGGCAAAAATGCTATGTTATCTAAAGGATGAAGCTGTTGGTTTTGAGTTATAATCGCAGCTGTTGAAATTGCTTTTTGCTGTTTTCAATAGAAAAATGTATCTGTCTGTATAAGTCACTTTTAATTGGGGAAGAACAGTCAGATACTGATAGAAGAGATGAGGTATGTGGCTGGTGGAGAGAAGATCAGACTAGTTTGGCTTTCAGGGACCATTTGTTTTCCCAGAGTACAAAGAAAAGGCAAAATTTCAGTGGGAAAAGTTCATTTTAGGTATGTTTTCCACTGCTGGAGTACTGTTATTTGTGGTTGGCAGGAGATGTTCATACATTGTGCTTGTGAAATAAAAATTAGTAAAGAGTGAACAAAGCAGATACTTCCTGCTTTTTCATAAATGGATCTGCAGCTCTTAATGTAGCAGTGTTGTTATGCTTAATACAGTGATCCAAGCGATGGTCTTGAATGCTTCCTGCTGTATTTGTTCAAAATTCTATACATAAAACTATAAGTAACAATGTTTTTCTGGATTAAAAAAAATTAGCTTTGCAGGCTTATTTCAGTCAAGCTTGTCTTTGAAAACATAATAGGGTATCAGTATGAGAGGGAAATATGCAAAAAGGCATGACTTCTGGAAAGAATGTGTTTTCACTCAAATGAATATTTGAGTCAGATGCATTTAGTTTGAAAGGAGTCCCTGAAAATAGTTTGTCTTAGTGATAGCCAGGCATAATTCCAATGCAGTAATTACTCTTTAGTTCAAAAGCAGACAGATAGTTCTCACATTGTGCTGATTTTGTCTGGGATAGAGTTAA